AATGCCCTCCTTTCTGCTTCTAGTGGTGGAACACAGTTCAGCCAGAGAAAGCACACAACCTGGCTAAAGTCAAGAAATAGACTATGCTGTTTGTAGGGAGGAAGAGAGTTGCTTCAGAAAGTGCACACACGGGGGCGCCTGGGTGGCGCAGTCGGTTAAGCGTCTGACTTCAGCCAGGTCACGATCTCGCGGTCCGTGAGTTCGAGCCCCGCGTCAGGCTCTGGGCTGATGGCTCAGAGCCTGGAGCCTGTTTCCGATTCTGTGTCTCCCTCTCTCTCTGCCCCTCCCCCGTTCATGCTCTGTCTCTCTCTGTCCCCAAAATAAATAAACGTTGAAAAAAAAATTTTTTTAAAAAGAAAGTGCACACACAGTGCTGAGACAGAAGAAAATGATGAGAAGCCTCCTCGGGAGTAAGACCAGCCTCCTTCCAGTCAGTGTTAGAATAAGAAAGGACAGCCTTTTCTCATCTGCCCAGAGTAGGGAAGGTGGTGACCAGCACAAATACTTGATGCTTGAGTTGTATCGCGTCGGACATAAACTCCTGTCACCTGCCAAGAATTAAGAGAACTAACCAGGAAACTCAAATCAAGAGTCTCAGACACAGCTGCTCAGGTCTTGTATAGTCCGTGGTCCCCATGAGGACAGCTCAAGTGCTTTATCATGGTGTCTCCCCCGAGTCAATGGATTGGAATTTAAATATTTTTGTCACAGTCCCATCTGAGGTTCTAAGAAAAGAAAAATCTTTTATCTCCATGTATTGTTTGGAGTTTCAGGAGATGCATGGAGTACCCAAATTTGGAACCCTAGCTCTGGGGTTTTACTGTTCTTTAAAGCCTCTTGGGATCAGAGACCTGAGATCAGAGAAAATGGGCCTGGTCTGAACTGTTTGTCTGTTGGTAAGGGTCTGAAGGGACAGAGAGACCCACGCTGTGTTCCAGCTGCCGGCAAAAGCAACCAGACCTGGAGCCATTGCCAAAAGGCATACCACTTTCCTCAAGGACTGGCATTCTGGTTCATGCTTTTACCAAAATTTGAGCATGTATTGACATCAAAACACTCTCTGTCTAGCAGAAATGAGCAAAGAGTGAAAAATTAGCAAAGACTCCATTTTTGTTGCATTCAAAGACAGAGACTAAAATCTCATCAAGGCGATAATAGCTCTTCAAACTCTGCCCAGAAAGAACTTGTTGCATGACATGACAGCAAGGCCGGGGGCTGAAGATGCAGGGTAAGGAGGAAAGGGAAATGAAAGAAGAGCCACAACAAGGAAAATGCTGTGCTCCTGGAAATGAAACCTCGTGATGCTGGGACTCCCCCTTAGGGCCCTAGGGACTGACTCAGCACACACTGGTAAAATGCTAAAGACAATTCATTTAAGACTAGAGCAAGATTAGGGCTCCCGACTGCCACCCTCACCTACTTGACAGCCTTGGGTGTTTTTATTCCTCCTTTTATGCCCTATAGTCCTTGGGGGTCCCCAGTCATTCCACTAAGCTGGCCTCGATTTCTTTTTCCCAGCATGTAGGTGCTCAAGATTGTTTCCCATCTCATGGGTAATATCTGTTAATTAAGGATTAGATAAGTGACAGGGATGGGGGGAACTTATACAGATTTCACAGAACATATTTTGGAACTTTCTGAGTATTTTTTCAAATATCAGATTTTTCCCAGGATATTTCCATAGCAACATAATACTGCTTATTATTACTATTGTAGCTGTTGTTGTTTCACTTTATTGTCCTTCAGTCTTCAGTCACAAGGTGAGTGACTTTTAAATCTTTCTCACTTAGGACAAATTACTAACTGTTAATGGCTGTTTTATAAGCTTCATATAAAAACTGACTCTGAGAAGTGCTTTTGCCCTTGAAACAGTTTGTTTCCCAAGGGTGCTGAAAGAGATAACGCAGTGGTGCCTGTCCCACTAAATTTATAATTTCTGTCAAGGATGGAAATGAAATTTCTGGTCCTAAGAGATGAGTCCAGATAATGAAGATTAGTAGTAAAGATTCTCAGCCTGAATTTGCCCAGGAAAATCTTTGTCCTCACTGACTGGGAAAAAGAGAGGAACCTGGAACTTCTGGGAGAGGACTTCTACCAAGAAAACAAAAAAACAAAAATCGAATAAAGGGTGCACACACTCTTCCAATGCCACCACCCCCCCCTTCCTGGAATCCCAAATCTAGCTAAAAGGTATGTTCTCTGAGTTCTTCAGGACTCTACCTATTATACACAAAGGGCATGTAACTTATTACAGTAGGAAAAGGAAAGAAAAGCATTCTATGCTTTCTCTGTTTAATAAATACTCTGAATGATCGCACACACACACACACACACAGCCTCACACACAAAGGAAGAAAGGAAAGTTATGACCAACTGATACTGGGAGTCTTACAAGGTTATTGAATTCTGCTTGTGTATGAGAAACAATACAATGGCTTTCCTCTTCTATGATCCACCACATCATAGGAGGACAACATAGCAGAGAGGGAAAAGAGAAGATAGTGATGAAAGGAAATGATGGGAAAAGAGGAGGGAAGGATGTGTGCTCCAACCAGGTTGCTGTGTCCAAGGATCTGCCTTGTCCTCTGTCCACTGCTGGGATCCTGGCTTCTCAGCTGGAGGCTCTGGTGCCCTGAGCGTCTTTCCTGATCTGCTTTTCTTAGCTCTCCACTTCTCTCAGGGACAATAATGACAAAGCAACAAGGTGAATGTCTCTCATTTGGGGGAATGGGTGGAGCAAGGCAGTTCTTCCTCAGCCTTCCTAAGTTTCAAAAGACTAGCAAGACTGGTGAAGAAAACAGAGAAAGCACCATTGTTCCCCAAGAATCTCTAGAAGGACTGACTAATGAGCCTTCACATTTCTTTGAGCTCCCCACGCTATATCTAGGTTTCTCTCTAGGTCCTTCAGCATCTCCTGCCCCACCCAAAAAGAGTAAGTACACCAGTGGAAATCCCCTGAGCAAACTAGCACATGCTGTACCAAAATATTGTGTCTTGGCTTTGTTCTTTTACATCTTCACAACTAAAGGAAAGAGATACAATCAAAATGATAGTCCACTTAAATGATAAACAAGAGAATTTAAAGAGACACGACCCAATTACTCACCCATAGAGTGAAAATCTGAACAATTCATGACACCTGGGTTGGTGGATATATATATATAATTCATGGTTCCTCCTCTAACACTTATTTAGCTTATGAGAATTTATAATTGTATCTTTCTTGAAAGGATATTCAGCTCAATGAACAAAATATACCAATTGTTGTGAATCAGACTCATGATTTTCTAACCAAGCTTTCTAGACAAGATTAGAAATGAGGGCAGAAATTATTATCTGGTGCACAAAATTGTCACTCTTTATTTGGCTTGAAATATGTTTGAAAATGCCAAAAGTAGGCCTTAGCAGATGGAGGATATAGATTATGCCCGTTCAGTTGGCTTCTTGCAGAGAAATATTCCTTGAGTTTGCAGTCCAGAGTGTGATCTTCTGAACAGAGCATCCCATCTCTATCACTGGATCTGCCTCAACACTGAAGACAGGCTTCTAGAGACTGGTACAGATGCCTTACTTCTTCTTTTCTTATTTTATGAGATTGTCACAATAACTGTAATGGTGAGTTAAGTGAACTCATGCAGCTTTCAAAGACTCTCTGTTTTATGCACGGGAGGGTGTCGCTCATCTTTGCTAATTTAACCATTTTTATAGTCCTGTAGGGCCAATTCTACCCAATATCTACGAATCAAACAGTTAAGTACACACTGCCTACTCATCATTTCGGTACTCATCACCTAATAATTGCAGTCTTGTGGCTTTTTTCTAAAAGAGAGGCGAGTGGTGTTTCCTAGCTTGAATCCAGGTGATTAGCCAGTGGAAGACCTGAGCAGACCTCTGTCTTCCAGAAGGCTTCCTCTGCCTGTTGATAACAATGATTGCTAGGAACCGTCATTTGAATACTAATAGCAGTTTAAAGAAAAAGATCCAACAATTCCCGGGAAGTCAGTTAGGCTTCACAAGTGTCACTACTTTAACCCTGAGGCCGTGTTGGGAATAGTTTTGATTGACACACAAGTTTAGAGAGAGACTGAATTATCTTTGTCATTGTCTCAGGCTTCTGCCCCTTATATATATTGTATGTACTAGTTTGGTTTGCAAATGCCATATGTTCCTGAAATGTGTGGAAATCAGATTGTCAGAAATAGAATCCTATTATAAATACACTGAGAAAATAACTGTTTATCTATTAAACAAGGGATCAACAGTTTTTTTCTGTGAAGAACCAGAGAGTAAAGATTTTACGGTTTGTGTGCCATACAGTTTCTGCCACAAGTCCTCAGCTCTGCTGCTGTAGCACAAAAGCAACCGTGTTTCAATAAAACTTTATTTGCAAAAATAGGTGGTGGGCCAAATTTTGCCCTTTGGCCGTAGTTTGCCAACTTCTAAACTAAATAAATAATTCTTGAATGCCTACTTTGATCAGTGAAGTATAAGTATTGGGATACACAGAAAACTAAATGAGTTTCTTGCGAAATTCTCTAGTGTATATGTTCAGAAACTGGAGATGATCTATTTTAAAATAATCTGCAATAAAGTACTTAATAAAGTGCAGAATCTTTCCTTAAAGCAAAACTTACCCCAATCAATTGATTAGCTCTGTAAGTTTACAGTTTTGTTTTGTGATTATTTTTTGAACTGAGCCTTATTCACACTCTATAGTCTCAGGTATCTTGGACTATATTTGAATGTACTACCTTATTCTGGAATAAGCACAATAAGTTTGGGGACTTACAGGAATACCAAAGAGGTACAATAATTCAAATGCTCTATCCCTTCATTTCCTCTACCTCTGCTTACAACAGCAATACTTTTACTCAGACTTCCTGTTTCTGGCACTTGCCTTCTTTTTTGCTGTGTTTATACTTCCCCCTGTCTGTGGTTAAATAAGTATAAAGTGCTAAAGCTGTAGATTGGTGCCTCTCTCTCTCTCTCTCACTGGTGCTCTGTCTCTCATTCATTCCTACACACAGGCTCACACACCTCCCTTCTCTTCTCTTTCTCTCTCTCAGAATGATGATTCTAGGTACAGCTTTTGGTATGGTTTTCTATTTACTTCAAGTCGTTTCTGGAGAAAGTGGCTATGCACAGAATGGTGAGTCATTTCTAACTTTTCTTTAAGATTTCAGGTTATCTCTAGCATATGCTTCGGGTTACTTAGATCCCCAAAGACCTGATCTGGACACTGGGTTAGAATGGAGTTGGAGAATTACCATATATTCTGTCATTTTTCTGTCATTTGTAAGTTCTAACCACGGGGACAGGAGGCCAGGAAACAATACTGTGGGTGGTATAAAGTCTTAGAATTGTCTAGAAAGAATGCATTTAACTCTATAAATGTGGATCTTAAATGTTGGTCAATGTTTCTACTCTTACAAAAGGAATACCCATATAGGTGCAATGGTTGTGCTTGTTGGAGAATCTCCAAGGTAATTTAACCTTGTTAAAAAAAATCAAACTACATTTATTTTGTTTAGTTTTTTTAAGAGGTTCCAAAAGCATAACTCTCATGATAAAATAGTTTCCAGAAACAACAGCTTTGTCTGCACTTACCATCACCATATCTCCAGCACCTAAAAGTGTCTAGAACGTAGTAAACATTCAATATTTGAATTGAATATTTGAAAATTCCTTCAAAATCCTTCAGTTTTGATATTTATGTGAGATTCTTACTTAGTGAATAATTGAACAGAGAAAGATCTGTATTAGTTGTCTCCTAAAAATATATTTAATTGCCTTCATATCAACACATTTATCATCATATAGTAATTCCCTTTGGGATCCTTGAAATACTTAGCACCTACAAGCCAATGCTATCTACTTAGAAACTAGGTCATAATGACAACACAACTGTAAACAAAGACAAAATGGCAACAAGAGGAGCCACCTGGGAATTTGAACCACCCATTTGCTCCCGATAATTAAGCTCTTTGGCTCTAAGAGTTGAAAAGTATTTTCCTATCAAAGATACCAAAGACACCAGCTTAATGATTCAACTTAGATATGTTAAGTCATGTAATTACTAAGGGTGGAAATCCCTAGAATATTTTCACTAAGGGAATTGTCAGAAAGCTGACATTTTTCAGTGTGACCGTATATGAATCACTTTGTGGGGATGATCATAATTCCTTGGTACATGTCCCCTTATATTTGCACAGATAGCTGCTTGGCAGGTAACACCTAATTCTTACTCTTTGGAGTATAATATTTTCCTTCTATTTCTCCCTGATGGCCATACTTTTTAAAAAAAGAAATAAGAATTCTAACTGAAAGCTGAGTTTCACTTCAATTTTTCAAATTTCAGTTTTATTTAGGATATCTATAACCACCCATCCACATTGATCACCTCAAAATACTTTTCAGTTTGGGGTGTATAATAATCCACTGCTCTTTGTTGAAAGATTAGTTTGTTGATAACCACAAGGATGATAGAAGAAAGGGATATTTTTTAATAATCCAAACCATGTATGTTTTTGATCAACTAATTCCTTTCAACAGGAAGACTTCCAAACCACACGGCCTTGTCAATAATGCATATTTTAAAAAACTAAATTTTTATAGACAAATATGCTTAGATAGTATTGAAAGAATAGTAAGTTAACTCACTGTTGAAAAGTTCTATGTAATTTCAAAATCATAGTAATAATACCTTTGACATAGAACTCTTTCAAAGGATCCCCAAAGGTTTCATGTAGATTCTTAGAATTAGAATTCTTGTGTTACCGTTTCATTACTTATTTCTCAAAAACAGAAAAATGATAATAATCATAGCTAACCCTTATTCGGTGCTTACTATGTTTTTTTTTTATTTTTTTAATGTTTATTTATTGTTCAGAGACAGAGACAGAGACAGAGTGAGAGTGGGGGAAGGGCAGAGAGAAAGAGACACAGAATCCAAAGCAGGCTCCAGGCTCTGAGCCCGATGCAGGGCTCGAACTCACAAACCACAAGATTATGACCTGAGGTGAAGTCAGATGCTTAACCAACTGAGCCACCCAGGCACCCCAAGGTGCTTACTATGTTCTAAGCTAACTCTTTGCATATATTTGTTCAATGATTTCTCATATAATGTGAATTTCCATATCAAAACACTGAGGTGTAGAGAGGTTGAGTAACCTGACAGGGACCACAGTTACAAAGTAAAATAGGAAGAATTTAAACCCACATCTGTCCAGCTCTGGTGTTGGAGGTTTTAACCACTGTGTATAATACTCTAAGAATTTTTCAGCTTAGGTCAGGTAGAACATTCTCTTTGTAAAATGCCATGCAATTTTGCAAGTTGTTGAGGGGAATTTTTCTTGGTTACAAAGCAATTTTGCCCAGTAACATCTCCTAAAGAGCCAGTAAGCTGCTTCTCAAAACATAGCCACTTTAATTGTATGACTAGTGTTTTGTATATTGTATAAGCATATACATCAGACACACTTCACCAGACTGGATGGCTAAGGGTGGTAGGAATGCCTTGTTCTGCTGGTGCTCAGCATCTGCTAGTCTATGCTCTCCGGTTTATCTTGTATATTGTATTATATTGTATATTGAGGAATTTTGGACACAAAGCTGATCCACAGAAGTCTGAATCCAAATAGTAATGTAGGTTCTGTTGTACAGGATTGGTGGAAGATTTAAAGAGGAGAAAACCTCAAAACAGAATGAGGACTGCTGTGTAAAGGCAGGCTACAACCACCACTGTTCCACTGAGAAAAGGTTTTAGGAGATGAGGTTTTAATACTATCAGATTAGGAATGAACATGGTTTAAAGTGTGAGCCCTAAATAGTGGGTTGCCCCTCATTATTTAAAACTGTCATCAGGGAGCACCTGGGTAGCTCAGTCAGTTGATCGTCTGACTTTTGATTTTAGCTCAGGTCATGATCTCATGGTCATGAGATCAAGCCCCATGGCAGGCTCTGTGCAAAGCATGGAACCTGCTTAAGATTCTCTGTCTCTCTGTCTCTTTCTCTCTCTCTCTCAAGAAACAAACAAAAACCTGCCTGTCATCAGGAAGGGGTCTATACCCTACTGAAATTACATAAGGAATCTTTGCTTGTGGCAGAATTGTAAGCCTATGGATTCTAGGAACGATCAGAGCAGCACCCACAGCTTTTTATCTTGATGTAGTTTTTCAAGATTTGTGGCTTTGACTGAACCAACCTGTCACTCATCTAGTTGGTCCACTCCACTCACAACCAGCTTTACTAATTTTCCCACAGAACTACTTGGTAATTTAAGTAAAAAGGACCTTCAGGGCACTCAACGGGTTTGATTTTAGTATATTCTGTATCCTATTTGAAGCTCTAGAAGCTTCTAATTTCTAGCATTGATGGGCCAAAGTGATTTTTAGTAACAATGGACCTAGAAGCCATCATAAGCTCACACTTGATTACTCTGAGAATGGCTTCAGTTACTCTGGATTTTCTCAGGTCTCAGTCCAAGTATATTTGCTGATACATTTTTTTCTATTAAATATTATGAAATATAGATACAAAATGTCTATTGAATCTTAAGGGCCTCAACCCAGTTTAAAAAATCGAATACAATCTATGACAAATTGTACTTACCAAAAGTGACTGACAAAAGATTCTGGCTCACTACATACTTTCAGAATTCTGATAATATCTTAAGATACAGTATCTATAGAAGAAGGATCTATAAGCACTGAAGTAATACCTATAGGATTTGTAGGAAAGTCCACCAGATCTGAGTCCCAGCAGATCTAATCTAATCACATTTGCCTTAGTAGCTTAAGACAAATTGCTTTAAATAAATATTCACACAATGGAGATAATCAATTGTACTTTTAGTTGGAATTCCTATTCAGGTAAGGGAAATCTATCCCTTAAAAAAGTGAACTTCTGACTGTATGATAGCTCTCATCTTCCTTCATTCAAAAAATACTTGGGAGGAAATAAATGAAGATTAGTAATAAAGTCAAAGGCTAGGTAGCATTTGAATAATAGAGATAGAGTATCTCTTATTTGAAATTCACTAATTAACAGAAGAAATTATAGTGTAAAAAGGAAAGTGTATGTTTAATATTTTACTCTAGATCTCTAATGCACTAACCCAGTGTCAGAGGTATTTAGAAATATTTGGAGATAGGAGCACTTGGGTGGCTCAGTGTGTTGAGTGTCCAACTCTCCATTTTGGCTTACATCATGATCTCACGATTCTTGGGTTCCAGCCCGGCATTGGGCTCTGCGTTGACAGCTTGGAGCCTGGAGTCTGCTTCCAATTCTGTGTCTCCCTTTCTCTCTCTCTCTCTCTCTCTCTTTCTCAGAAATAAACATTTTTTAAAAAGAAAAAGAGTATAATGTATTTAAAAATGAATATTTGGAAGTTATTTATTAATTTTTATGATTTAGAAAAATCATTATGATTCTAGAAAAATCTGTGCTCTTTAGGTATTATTTTGGTTTGGATTTGGGATCTTTTCTGCTTTGGTTTTGGTTTTTCTGTCTTTTGCCTTGGGCTTTTCTTCTTGAGATAAACTTATAACAGCTCCCTCATGTCTGCCCCCAAAGGCTGCCATTTCATTAATGTCACTCCAGATTTCAAAAGGATGCACATATTTGCCCCATTAACAACTACAGGTTTGTTCCTCCCCAGGAGACTTTGATGATGCTGAACTGGATGACTATCCATTCTCGTGTTACAGTCAGTTGGAAGTGGATGGATCCCAGCACTTGCTGACCTGTACTTTTGACGACCCAGATGTCAATAGCACCAATCTGGAATTTGAAATATGGTGAGGAATATTGGCTCCTACGGGTGCCTGGAAATCCTGTCTCTCTTTTCATGTACTACGCAGCAAAGGAAAGAGTATGGAGCATAATTGTCAAGTACTAAAATCGAATGAATTCCAAAAACTTCCTGAAACTCCTTGTTCTTCACCAAAATACTCCAGCAAAGATACTTTCATAGGTTCTCCTGTCAGTCAGTCCTTGCTGGTACAGCAAGCTGATGGTATGGAACTTGGAGATCTCCCAACCCTCCTGACTTCATAGCAGACTTTAGCATTTATTTTCTTTTAATATTTTATTTAGTTTTGAGAGCAAGAGAGACAGGGCACAAACAGGGGAGGGGCAGAGAGAGAGGGGGGAGATACAGAATCCAAAACAGGCTCCAGGCTCTGAGATGTCAGCACAGAGCCCGACGTGGGGCTTGAACTCACGGACCATGAGATCATGACCTGAGCCGAAGTTGGACACTTAACCGACTGATTCACCCAGGCGCCCCCTTCATAGCAGACTTTAAATCTTGCTTTCTTAGAACACTCCTCCCCCAAAATTTATCTGCCTGAGACAATCTAGTGTCTTGCTGCACTCTGGAGGGCTGTTGCCTTTTTCTAATCCCAATACCAGCACCGTCTTAGCTTTTCAACCTAAAGCAAGCTATGGAACTCATGTAGGCCTCAAGTTCTTCACCTGTTAAATGAGTTGTACAAATTCATAGGGAGGTTTGGATAAATAAATAATGTAATACTTTAATAATTGAATTAAAGGGGTGCCTGGGTGGCTAAGTTGGTTGAGCATCCGACTCTCCATTTTGGCTGAGGTTAGGATCTCATGGTTTGTGAGTTCGAGCTGCACACAGGGCTCTGCGCTGCCAGCATAGGGCCTGCTTGGGATTTTCTCTCTCCTTCCCTGTCTGCTCCTCTCCCACTCACTCCCTCTCTCTCTCTCTCTCTCAAAATAAATAAACTTAAAAAAATAATAATTTAATTGGAAGACATATCCATTATATAATTATTGGGAAAGAGGCATTAAAATAAAAAAATCTATGAATACAGACCTAACTTCCACCTTCTTGGCACAGTTTGACTCTAGATGGTACCCTTAGTATCAATTTTCCAAAAATCAGCAGGAATAATCTGGCTCTTGTTTTCATAAGGCCTCAGGGAAAAGGCAAAGAAAAAAAGTAAGTCTCTCTCTGGTTTGAAAGTTTGGTGAAAAACTCAGAGAGTTTTCTTCTCCCTCCATAAACCATCTCATTGCCTTGGGTTACTGTCTCTGATGACTTGAAAAAGATACTCCAACATGAAATTCTAACTTAGGGCTATTTCCAAATTCATATCAAATGCCCTAAGTAGGTTCTTACCAAGAAAAGGGAGTCAAGACCCACTAGTAGTAAAAGAGGGCTTCTTAAATTCAGTAGACTCTCACCAATCCCCTAATATATGGTCTAGACAAGCCCTAAATTCCATGCCTTACATTAAATTACAGGAGCTTCCTGAATGTGCTCATGCAATGCTTCCTGATGCAGTCTTTCGAGAACACAATCTTGGACTTGAATTCCATTGTGTGTTCTCGGTCTGCTTCTTGGTTCACTTCTATAACACACTTTCCAGGAATAAAATCTGTCAGAATAGGAATCTACGATGTCCAGAATCTATACTGCAACTAAACTACACTAAAACAGGCAAACAGCTTATTCCAGCCATGTGCTCCTTTTTATGGACAAAATCCCCTCCAACAGTTATGTGACTTTGGGTTCTCCACCACGCTATTTGGTGGACAGCAGTGTTCATATAGTTTCTCCTCAGGAGGCTGAGGCTGACCTTTCTGTCCACTTTCACTCACACCACTTCCTTGACCACTTGAACAAACTTGCCCACTTCCTTTTGCAAGTCTTTTGATTACTTCTGTCATATTATAATCTATCTGCAGCATCCAATGGGGGTTTGCAATTGGATTTATGTATTTTGGTTGGAAAGGGATTGTCTTAAGACATGTTTTCAGTGTGAAACACTAAGTATGAGGAGGCTAAGGTGATTCTGGAGAGCATCTGTGTTTGTGAAGGTATCCACACTTTGAGGGGGGACTTTCATGCAACTCCAAATCCCAGGAGGAACATTGTTTCTCAAGTCAAAGTCACTTGGAGTGCTGTATTTGCCTACGAGGCTAGGTTGCTTTGCCAATGTAACTAGCTTCATTGGAGCTTTCTGTTCCTTTAACATGTTTATAAAGAAGAAATTGGAAATCATTGAAAAATGTACTTTCTTCTGAAGTCTTTTCACAGGTGGAATTGTTGACAGAAACCAGATGCTGTTTCCCAGCAGGCTTGTTAGGGGCATATTCATAGAAGAGTTTACCGCCTGATCTGGTCACCAGTCTCCTGGGGTTAGAAACCAAATTACTTGGTGTTCAATGAGAAGATCCATTTCCCAGGAATGGACTTGGATTAGCCAAAATCACAGAGTTATATTACCAATTTGCCAATTGAAGATTTCACACTTATAGATACAATTATTATAGATACCCAAATATTCACACTGGGCTCAGGACCAATAGGAGTGGGTGTTTGGGGAGAAGAGGAACAGAGTGGACCAATGGAGTATATGTCCATATAAATCCACTCTTACTGAGGGATCTGAAAATTTTTTATTCACCAGAAACTTAACCACCTCTCAGGTACCTGGAATAACACAACAGAGGCACTAAAAGCAAGCACCTAGGTTAGAATCCCCATAGTAACACTTAAGGAGCTCTGTGACCAAGGAGTTGTTACCTAAGCTCTCTGATCATAACAACCACATTTCATTGGGGTGGTTGGCATATGGTCAATACCTGTAAATAGTACTTAATTCTCAATGTAGATTGATTTTTATTAAAAATGAGATCAAAAGGTTGTTCAGTAAATATGGAAGCAAAACAAAGGAAATTTATTTGTTGGTTTTATGACTAGAGTTAGTTGGGGCACCTGGGTGGCTCAGTCAGTTAAACATCTGACGTCGGCTCAGGTCATGATCTCGCAGTTTCTGAGTTCGAGCCCCACGTTGGGCTCTCTACTGACAGCTCGGAGCCTGGAGCCTGCTTCAGATTCTGTGTCTCCCTCTCTCTCTGCCCCTCTGCTGCTCATGCTCTGTCTCTCTCTGTCTCTCAAAAATAAATAAATATTTAAAAAAAATTTTTTAAAGTTTAAAGTTATTTGGTTCAGATCTCAAAGTGCTTAATGTTTTAAGACTAGCTACCAGCACTTAAACATCTAGGTATCTCTTTAAAAATAAGATTTGATAATAGCAGGCCCATCCAGCAAAAGGGCCTGAACAGAATTCCTGCTGCTTCTGTGGATGAACAATTAAATCTCAGCCCTGAACGTAAGCCCACTTTTCGCATTTATGTTACTTTCGTAGACACTGTGGGCACTTGACTTTGGGACCCTGCTTTCTAGGTGCTTATATAAGGTCCATAGTCAGCTCTCGAAGGCAACTGATTTTTTTGTTTGTTTCCACATTCTTGGGAGCATCACAGTCACCTCCATGTGCCACCTACAGATAACACTTCCTATATGTCATTTTTAGTTTCTATGATTTACCACCAATGTCACAGGCACCCTGCCAAATTTATCTCATATTCTAGAGTTACCTAGCAATATCTGCCAGGGGTTATTAATTTAGTCCTTCTCCAGTAAACCATGCTAACTTTCAAAGTTGCTAAATATTTTTGAGATAGATTCTGTCTTTAGAGGCCAAATGAGGAACAAAGGCTACAGTTTTTGTTTCTGTTTTTTAATGTTTCCATGTAGATATCTGTCTGCCCCATCAGGAGAAATGCATTTATCAAGCTAAACCAGACAAGATTGAAAGAGATTTAGGAGGCTGGAGCTAAATTGAAGAAGTAGGCACTATGGTCTCCCCAGGAATCTCTCCCTATTTTCAGAACAAGAGGGTTTGTGTGAGTGGGTTACTGTTGATGCCCTCTGGGAAGGTCGTATAGGCCCAAATTTGTTGGCCTATAGTACTACTGGGGTCAAAAGTACATGAAAAAAAAGCCACCCCAGAAATAAAGCCAGTAAATCACTGAAATAGTAATTTCTAAAAGTTTATTGAGCATGTACCAAAAAGACAGTTTGCAAACCAGCTGTGCTCAAACTAAAATATAGAATGAGGCTCAGAGGTATATTGTTATAAAGCAACTTATATAGTGTAAAGACAATGAGTGTCTATTCTTTACAATGATTGGCTATAATATTAGAATTTTCTTAACCAAAAGGAAATTGGTTGGTGGTTACCTCATATCAATTTTGGCAAATGGTTTAAGTTTTGCTTATGATTTTCAGAGGCATAAACAAGAAGTGACCCAGGTTAAGTTAATCTTGCTTGTCTTGTAAAGTAAGCTAAAATAATATTTGCATATATGACGAACTTGTTTTGTCTGCTCAGGGAATTTTCAAGTGTGGTCTCTGTGTTTAATTTTAACATTGGATACTTGTGGTGCTTTTTTCTGCCCCCAAAATACCCTAGAATTTTGGGTATTTCCAACAGAAATATAGTATGATCCATAAATGTGTGAGCCACATATATAATTCTAAGTTTTCTAGTAGCAACATTTTAATAAATAAAATATAAATAGGTGACATTAATTTAATTTAACATATCTGATTTAACAATACACTTTAATATACTATATCCAAGATATTATCACTTCAACATGTAATCAATATAAACACAAACATTAATGAGATATTTTACATTACTTTTTGCATCTTCAAAATCTGTTGTATATTTTATAGTTAGAGCACATCACATGTGATATTTCAAGTATTCAATAACCACATATTGGGAGGTGGTTATTGTGTTGGACAGTGTCATTCTAGAATACGTCTAACCTTAACAATACATATTTAGCAACCAAGGAAATTGTTTCAAATTAGGTAAGTGAGTTGAAATGAATTACATTGAATTGAGTTGAACTCGTGGGGAATACACTAAGTTTCTTCCATTTGCCTGAAGCCAGTGTCATTGGC